AAATGTATAATAGGATGTATATAATGATACAATGTATAATAGGATGTATATAATGATACAATGTATAATGGGATGTATATAATGATACAATGTATAATAGGATGTATATAATGATATAATGTATAATAGAGTGTATATAATGATACAATGTATAATGGGATGTATATAATGATACAATGTATAATAGGATGTATATAATGATACAATGTATAATAGGATGTATATAATGACACAATGTATAATAGGATGTATATAATGATACAATGTATAATAGGATGTATATAATGATACAATGTATAATGGAATGTATATAATGATACAATGTATAATGGGATGTATATAATGATACAATGTATAATGGAATGTATATAATGATACAATGTATAATAGGATGTATATAATGATACAATGTATAATAGGATGTATATAATGATACAATGTATCTCTCTTCTCCATTCATAGAGAGAGAGAAATAAAACAAGGGGGCTGGGCTGCACAATGACTGATCACTGTGATAGCCAATCAGAGGTTTTCACAGCGATCATGTGACCCAGAATCGGGAGTCCCGGGTCCCAATCGTTAGAACGGGACCCGAGGCTCTCAGTGACACCGCGGTCTTTGTGCTGGGAGCAAGCAATGCGGTGCGCTCCCAGCAGAAAGACAGGTGTGCAAATATGCGGCCCCACGGAAAAAAGCCCAGTTCTGTGAGGACGCATATTTGTGTGACGTTGGCATCAAGGGGTTAAGCGAATGTTCCCATTGCACAGTTGTTCTTTGATGCATTTATTTTATATACTTGGCATCTAATTATTGACCATTTCTTCCGCGATTGATTTTGATTTCAGTTCCTTTTATTTAATATTTCCCTTTGTTTCTAAACACTGGAGAATCTTGAAAAATTATTCCGTCCTTAAGGATTTTCTTCCCTCTGAGCCCAAAGTCACCTTTAGAAGGGCACCGACATTGAGAGGTAGGATTGCCCCAAACATTGTCAACCCTCCACAGAGGATTTCGTTTTTTGGGATCTAAAAGGATTTTTCCCATGTAATAGTTGCATGATCTGCCAATTAGGTGGGAAAAAAACATGCCAAAGTAACTTCTTTTACTTCCACTGATACTGATTAGAAGGCGCCATTTTACCGGAGTGTGAAGACCAGGAAGTGACTCTTGGTTGGAGTGTAGTGGCAGCCATCTCGATTGATTTGAATGTTAGTTCTTTTTATTTAATATTCCCCTTTTTTTTAGATATCTCCCCTATTTTTTAGATAATTTGATTATAGCCAACCATTGGCTCGGACCCGTGGTAGCGCTCAGTTCATCTGTTTCGGGTTCGGGAAGATGGCTGCTGCTACACTCCGACCAAGAGTCACTTCCTGGTCTTCACACTCCGGTAAAATGGCGCCTTCTAATCAGTATCAGTGGAACTAAAAGAAGTTACTTAGGCGTGTCTTTTCCCACCTAATTGGCAGATAATGCAACAATTACATGGGAAAAATCCTTTTAGATCCCCCAAAGAATCGAAATCTTCTGTGGAGGGTTGACAATGTTTAGGGCAATCCTACCTCTCAATGTCGGTGCCCTTCTAAAGATGACTTTGGGCTCAGAGGGAAGAAAATCCTTAAGGACGGGATCATTTTTCAAGATGTTCCAGTGCTTAGAAACAATGTTTTTTATCTGAAAATGTTGTACCGAATAATTAGTTACAAAAGGGCATAACATTTGAGATTTAGATTTCGTACTGCCAGTCGTAAGAGGAGAATTTCTTTCCAATTTTGCTACTTGGCTAATGGTGCCATCCAGAACATCCTGGTCTTCACACTCCGGTAAAATGGTGCCTTCTAATCAGTATCATGCCTTGCAAGCTATTTAAATGGAGCCCGCACATGACGTTAGCAGTGGGCGTACCCCTGAAGATGTGCATCAGCACGAAACGCGTCGGGAGGAGCCACACTTGCCGAAGCTTGGATCGGCGGCCATTTTGGTACTGTATTTTTACAGATATTTTACACTCGTTCCACGTAGATTGTTTCTACTCTAATAAAATACTACACAATCCACCACTTCTTGGCTCCTGTGGTGAGCGATTTTCTCTAGGAAGAGGTCCTACCTTCGGTTTACCTGTGGCGGAGGGTTAGGGATCCGGGTATGACCAAAAATGTGTGGGAACAAAGGCGTAATCAGGGCTGGAGAGGTGGAATGGTCAGGCAGACCATTAGGTACTGTACAGGGTGCGGGGTCTAAGTCCAAATCTGCTTATTCACTAGGGCCCCTGATGGTGGGATGGACTTGGAGCAGACTGAGACCAGGTCGCGACCCCTGAGTACGTCCGGCAATGGTAAAGAGCATCGTCAGAGGTGTGCGGGGAAAGGAGCCTGACGTGAAGAGGCTGGCAGACCTGGTAACAGGGACAGATCCGTGCGGGATGGATGGATGGATCGTCTAGGTAGCGTCAGGCGTAGTCAGGCAGGCCAGGTCAGCAACGTGTGGGCAGCGAGGTACCGGAGGAGCAGGCAGAGAATAGTCAGGATCACAAGCCGGGTTCAGTAACTCACAGGCAGCGCGGTACAGAGGATCAGGCTCAGGGATGGTCAGGAAAGCCAGGGGTTAAACAGGAGACGGTCAGCAGAGGTCAAGATCAAAGCAGGGTCAGCAACTAGGCAGATAGGCAGGAACACAGGATACCAGGTACAGGGGCTCATGGGAAACAATACACCAAGGCACTGACTGCAGGTCTGGCCATTCCTTAAATACACCTCCTGCAATCAGCCTCAGGTGATGGCTGATTGCAGGAGTGAGCTTCTGGTTGCTGAGAGCACCCGCTGGCCAGCCCTGGTACTGCAGCCCACACGGCAGGTGAGTCTCACCACCAGTGGTGAATCCATTCCTGACACGGAGCAGTCCGGTGCATTTCTCTTTGGCTCTTTGATGTCATCTACATAGATGCGATTTATCAGGAGCTTTCTGGTGAGTTTCCATCTAACGGAGGTGGTGGATCTCTTCACTGGGTCTGAATTACAGTTTGCTTTTCACCGAGGTTGCTGTGCCTTGTAGTCCCACGGACACTATTATCCATTTATATTGGACGGACTCTTTTGCATTTCCATTGTATTTATTTCACTTTGTATTGATTCACTTGACATCACTTAATACATAAGCGCTGCACTTTTATACCACATATTTTACAGGTGTTGTTATCTTTCCTGCTAGCAGCTCTTCACCGATTTATTTCTAGCGCTTGCCTATATATAATTTAAGATAATGTGGTTGCATAAGTGTGCACACCCTTATGCCAGCCATACATGGGTTGAAATTCAACTGATTTTTCGCCTGAAAATCAGACCTAAGAATAATTGGCCGATTTGAGCTCTGTTAGTGGGTCAATGGCACCGACCGATTTTCGTGGTTCCTCCCCTTTTCGGTGATCGGGCATGTTGGAAAATTTGTGAAAAACAACCGATTTTCGACTCAATGATGGTCAAATCGTACGATCGTTTTTCCAAAAAGAATATGAGCTGTGACCTGGAAGGAACAGAAGTTTGCCCTTTATATGGGGTGAAGTTTATGACTTGGTTGGCCAATTTTCGAAATCATTGATGGCACGATCGGATTACCGAGTGAACAACGTTTTCGATTTTTGGATGAAAAATCGTTCGGAATTAAAACCATGTATGGCCTGCATAAGGCTCCATGCACACGGGGGCATTTTAATAACGCTGGTAATGTTAGCTGTGTAAAGTCACATTAAAAACATGAGTTTTTTTAGCGGCTTTGTATTAGTGTTTGGCAGTGTTTAACTGCGTTTAGCCACGTTTTTTTGTAGTCAAAAAAAGTCCAAAAACACTGGTTTGCTGCAATTTACTGCGTTTTTCAGGATTAGAGCGTTTTTACAGCTAAAAACTCCTCTAGAAGCCCACTAGTTCTGAGTTTTTTTTCCAGCCAAAAATCATCCCTGTTGATTCCAATCTATGTGTGCATGGACATGGAGACATAGGAGAACATGCATGGGGATGGACACATAGGATAGGAGATCATGCTGGGGATGGACACATAGGATAACATGCCGGGGGTGGACACATAGGATAACATGCCGGGGATGGACACATAGGATAACATGCCGGGGGATGGACACATAGGAGAACATGCCGGGGATGGACACATAGGATAACATGCCGGGGGACACATAGGAGACACATGGGGATGGACACATAGGACATGCCGGGGATGGACACATAGGAGAACATGCTGGGGATGGGGACATGGACACATAGGAGATCATGCCGGGGGGATGGACACATAGGATAACATGCCGGGGATGGACACATAGGAGAACATGCTGGGGATGGACACATAGAACATGCGGGGATGACACATAGAAACATGCCGGGGATGGACACATAGGAGAACATGCCGGGGGATGGACACATAGGAGAACATGGGGATGGACACATAGGAGGTGCTGGGGATAACACATAGGAGAACATGCCGGGGATGGACACATAGGAGAGAACATGCTGGGGATGGACACATAGGAGAATGCTGGGGATGGACACATAGGATAACATGCCGGGGATGGACACATAGGATAACATGCCGGACACATAGGAGAACATGCGGGGATGGACACATAGGAGAACATGCCGGGGGACACATGGACACATAGGAGAACATGCCGGGGATGGACACATAGGAGAACATGCCGGGATCTGATGGACACATAGGAGGAACATAGCCGGGGATGGACACATAGGAGAACATGCTGGGGATGGACACATAGGAGAACATCTGGGATGGACACATAGGGGGATGGACACATAGGAGAACATGCCGGGATGGACACATAGGAGAACATGCTGGGGATGGACACATGGAGGAGATCATGCTGGGGATGGACACATAGGATAATGCATGGATGGACACATAGGGCCGGGATGGACACATAGGATAACATGCCGGGGATGGACACATAGGAGAACATGCCGGGGGATGGACACATAGGAGAACATGCCGGGGATGGACACATAGGATAACATGCCGGGGATGGACACATAGGAGAACATGCCGGGGATGGACACATAGGAGAACATGCCGGGGATGGACACATAGGAGATCATGCCGGGGATGGACACATAGGAGAACATGCTGGGGATGGACACATAGGAGAACATGCCGGGGGATGGATGGACACATGGACACATAGGAGAACATGCTGGGGCTGGGGATGGACACATAGGAGAACATGCTGGGGATGGACACATAGGAGAACATGCCGGGGATGGACACATAGGATAAACATGCCGGGGATGGACACATAGGAGAACATGCCGGGGATGGACACATAGGAGAACATGCCGGGGGATGGACACATAGGAGATCATGCCGGGGATGGGGACACATAGGATAACATGCCGGGGATGGACACATAGGAGAACATGCTGGGGATGGACACATAGGAGAACATGCCGGGGATGGACACATAGGAGATCATGCTGGGGATGGACACATAGGATAACATGCCGGGGATGGACACATAGGAGAACATGCTGGGGATGGACACATAGGAGATCTTGCTGGGGATGGACACATAGGATAACATGCCGGGGATGGACACATAGGAGAACATGCTGGGGATGGACACATAGGAGAACATGCCGGGGATGGACACATAGAAACATGCCGGGGATGGACACATAGGAGAACATGCCGGGGATGGACACTTAGGAGAACATGCCGGGGGATGGACACACTAGGAGAACATGCCGGAGATGGACACATAGGATAACATGTTGGGGATGGACACATAGGATAACATGTTGGGGATGGACACATAGGATAACATGCCGGGGATGGACACATAGGATAACATGCCGGGGATGGACACATAGGATAACATGCCGGGTATGGACACATAGGAGAACATGCCGGGGGGATGGACACATAGGACAACATGCCGGGGATGGACACATAGGAGAACATGACATGCCGGGGATGGACACACAGGAGAACATGCTGGGGGGTTTACTGGCTGTAGAAAAAAATGTCAAAAGCCCAAAACAGCCGCTGTAAAAAACGTCCCGTGTGCAGGAGGACTTACACTAATCCTTTGTTGAAGCCCCTTTTTATGTGATTCCGGCACTCAGTCTTTTTGGGGAGGAGTCTATCAGCACGGTACATCCTGACTCGGCAATATTTGCCCGCTCTTCCTTGCAGAAACACTCCAAATCTGTCAGATTGTGTGTCATCTCCTGTGCACAGCCCTCTTCAGATCACCCCCCACAGATTTTCCATTGGATTCAGGTCTGGGCTCTGGTTGGGACATTCCAAAACCTTCCTCTTCTTCTGGTGAAGCCATTCCTTTGTGGATTTGGATGGATGCTTTGGGTGGTTGTCATGCTGGAAGATGAAGTTCCTCTTCATGTTCAGCTTTCTAGCAGAAGCCTGAAGGTTTTGTGCCGATATTGACTGGTATTTGGAACTGTTCATAATTCCCTCTACCTGAACTAAGGCCCCAGTTCCAGCTGAAGAAAAACAGCCCCAAAGCATAATGCTGCCACCACCATGCTTCACTGTGGGTATGGTGTTCTTTTGGTGATGTGCAGTGTTGTTTTTGCGCCAAAAATATCTTTTGGAATTATGACCAAAAAGTTCAACCTTGGTTTCATCCGACCAGAACACATTTCCCACATGATATTGGGAGACTTTAGATGTGTTTTTGCAAAATTTATCCAGGCTTGGATGTTTTTCTTCATAAGAAAAGGCTTGCGTCTTCCACTCTACCCCATAGCCCAGACGTATGAAGAACACGGGAGATTGTTGTCACATGGACCACAGCCAGTACTTGTCAGATATTCCTGCAGCTCCTTTCATGTTGCTGTAGGCCTCTTGGCCGCCTCCCAGACCAGTTTTCTTCTCGTCTTTTCACCAATTTTGGAGAGACGTCCAGTTCTTGATGATGTCACTGTTGGTGAAGTCACTGTTGGTGATGTCACTGTTGTGCCATATTTTCTCCACTTGATGATGACTGTCTTCACCGTGTTCCATGGTATATCTAATGCCTTGGAAATTCTTTTGTACCCTTCTCCTGACTGATACCTTTTAACAATGAGATTCCTCTGATGCTTTGGAAGCTCTCTGCAGACCATGGCTTTTGCTGTAGGATGCGACTAATAAAATGTCAGGAAAGACCAACTAGAACAGCTGAACTTTATTTGGGGCTAATCAGAGGCACTTTAAATGGTGTGTACTGACTCCTATTTAACATGTTTTGAATGTGACTGCTTAATTCTGAACACAGATACATCCCCACTTATAAGAGGGCGTGCACACTTATGCAACCACATTATTTTAGTTTTGTTATGTTTACTCCCCCCCCCCCCCCCCCAAAGATTTCCGTTTGTTTTTTAGTTTGTACAGTTTATAGGTCACATTAAAGGTTTATAAAGTTCTGAAATGACTTATCTTGACATGTTAACAGGGGTGTGTAGACTTTTTATATCCACTGCATGCGTTGAGAGTTTGGGTCTCTGCCATTGTCTGGGGACCCTGCAGCGTCTGTACATGCCCAGGAACTCAAAAACTGCGTGACACAGACATGAAATCCTGCACATGAGCAGATATATACTGCGTGCTGTCCGCCATTTTGCTGGCAGAGACCCGAGCATGCGTAGGGTCTACATACGTCCTCCTCAGCTAGGCCTAGATTGAGCATACAAACTAAAGTAAATTAACCCCTCGCCTGCCGGGCACTTCTACCCCCTTCCTGCCTGCCGGGCACTTCTACCCCCTTCCTGCCTGCCGGGCACTTCTACCCCTTCCTGCCTACAGGGCACTTCTACCCCCTTCCTGCCTACAGGGCACTTCTACCCCCTTCCTGCCTACCAGGCACTTCTACCCCCTTCCTGCCTACCGGGCACTTCTACCCCCTTCCTGCCTACAGGGCACTTCTACCCCCTTCCTGCCTACAGGACACTTCTACCCCCTTCCTGCCTACAGGACACTTCTACCCCCTTCCTGCTTGCCGGGCACTTCTACCCCCTTCCTGCCTGCCGGGCACTTCTACCCCCTTCCTGCCTACAGGACACTTCTACCCCCTTCCTGCCTGCCGGGCACTTCTACCCCCTTCCTGCCTACAGGACACTTCTACCCCCTTCCTGCCTGCCGGGCACTTCTACCCCCTTCCTGCCTGCCGGGCACTTCTACCCCCTTCCTGCCTACCGGACACTTCTACCCCTTCCTGCCTGCCGGGCACTTCTACCCCCTTCCTGCCTACAGGGCACTTCTACCCCCTTCCTGCCTGCCGGGCACTTCTACCCCCTTCCTGCCTACAGGACACTTCTACCCTCTCCCTGCCTACAGGGCACTTCTACCCCCTTCCTGCCTACCGGGCACTTCTACCCCCTTCCTGCCTACCGGGCACTTCTACCCCCTTCCTGCCTACAGGGCACTTCTACCCCCTTCCTGCCTACCGGGCACTTCTACCCCCTTCCTGCCTACCGGGCACTTCTACCCCCTTCCTGTCCAGGCCAATTTTCAGCTCTCAGCGCTGTTGCACTTTGAATGACAATTTCACAGTCACTGTACCCATATCAATTTTTTATCATTTTTTTTAAACAAATAGAGCTTTCTTTTGGTGGTATTTAATCACCTCGGGGTTTTTTAGTTTTTGCTAAACAAACCAAAAACATCTGAAAATTAAAAAAAAAAGTTTTTCCTTAGTTTCTGTTATAAAATTTTGTAAATAAGTGATTTTTCTCCTTCACTGATGTGCGCTAATGAGGCTGCAGTGATGGGCACTGATAGGCTGCAGTGATGGACACTGATAGGTGGCACTGATGGACACTGATAGGCTGCACTGATGGACACTGATAGGCTGCACTGATGGACACTGATAGGTGGCACTGATGGGCATTGACAGGCATCACTGATAGGCACTGAAAGGCAGCACTCATATATGGAACTGATAGGCAACACTGATAGGCAGCACTGATGGACACTGATGAGGAGGCACTGGTAGGTGGCACTGATGAACATTGACAGGCATCACTGATGGGCACTGAAAGGCAGCACTCATATATGGCACTGATAGGCAACACTGATAGGCGGCACACTGATGGGCACTGATGAGGAGGCACTGGTAGGGTGGCACTGATGGGCATTGACAGGCATCACTGATGGGCACTGAAAGGCAGCACTCATATAAGGCACTGATAGGCAACACTGATAGACGGCACTGACTGGCACTAATAGGCGGCACTGACTGGCACTGTTAGGTGGCACTGATAGGCGGCACTGACTGGCACTGATAGGTGGCACTGATTGGCAGCACTGACAGGTGGCACTGACTGGCATTGATAGGTGGCACTGACTGGTGCTGATAGGTGGCACTGAAGGGCAGCTCAGATGGGTATGGATATGTGGCATTGATGTGCACTGATGAGCACTGGAGTGTTAGATGGACTAGCAGACTTGCATACACTAACAAATAGAAGCCAAACTCCAGCTCACCCTTTATAATCAGTTACAGCAAACAGTTTTTTTTGTTTTTTTTTTTTCCTTTTGGGACATAAAATTATAAAAGCTGATCATTGTGAGCACCCCTGACAGTGTTAAAATGGTTCATCTCATCCCTGTAACTGCAAGCGAGCTTTTTCCATTGAAAAACAACAGACTTATTAGCTGGATCACCAGATGAAACTAGAAGAAAGAAACCCTGAAAAATAAAACGAATGCAGTCGCCACATCTGAGAGTTGGTAAGCTGCCATATAATAAATGATTGCTTTTTGGTTTGATACCGCTTTAAAGAGGAACTTCACCCCAGGGGTGGACTGACCATTTGGAAATTCAGGCACTGCCCGAGGGCCCGGGGTCAGTAGGGGGCCCCATGAGATGCCCCTGGTACCTTTTTCATAGGCTTTTTTGAGTTTGGGCAAGGACACAGGGGCCCCATGATCCCCTATTGCCCGGGGCCCCATGATCCCCTATTGCCCGGGGCCCCATGAGTTGTCAGTCCGCCCCCTGCTTCACCCCCATTCATTCTACACCCCCCCCCCCCCCCCCAATTCCACCCTTAGCTTTCATGATGGGGAACATTCCAAACACACACTACCTGTCCAGGGGATCCAGCGTTGTCCTGCAGCGGGTCGCTGTTCAGATGTTTGTGTCTCCCGCCGCCACCTTAGTCCTCGTCAGCCGGCTGCCGTTTCCAGGGTCAGGCGGCTTTTCCCCAGCAGTCCTCAGGATGGTCCCTTGCGGCCCCCCGGAATTGATGGGGGTTTCCCGAGGGACTCTGGGAACAGAATATATAATTCTAGCCTAGGCCGGAATGGCAGCGAGGTACAAGGACCCCAGAAAATACAACAGTGTACCCCCTAGAAAATAAATGTTCATTTTAATGGGGGAAGGCAGAGAGCCAAGGTTTGTCTGCATAGCTAAGTACCCCTTGAAAGTTGTTGTAAATCCTTACATATAGTGACTGGCCTCAGGTGATACACAGAGGTTGCATCTGCCTATGCAAGTTGTACCTGTTTATCTACAGTCTCCTCTTCTCTACATCTGACCACAGTGCAGAATTTATACAGCTTCTCCGAGCTTTCAGAAAGCAGAGGGAGCTATAGTTACGCTCTGCAGAGCTCAGTGAGAGCTGATTGGAGGTAAGGGACACCCATACCCCCCCTCCCCCTTTCACACAGGAACACAGCTGAGGCTGTCAATCACAGGATGTGTGCTGGAGCTCCCTCCCCTGTCATCTTTTTATCTCTTGCTGTCAGGAAGACTTGTTAGAAATGATTCATGCTGATAGCAGAAGAAAGAGGCAGCAGACAGAAATGACACTTAGTGCTCTGGACTGAGACAAGGACACACTATAGAGGGATTGGCTTTGTTAAAATTTTATATATGAAGTTTACAACCCCTATGACATACGTTGTGTTATGTTGTCGTATGTTATATCTTGTATGTTAACATGTTATGTCTCCAT